TCTTTCCTAAAGGGCTCATCCTCTACTTTGAAAATCCCAGCACCACATACCCAACCTACACCAGGGCGAGCCCTGTGTCTTAACTTATTAAGCTAGATGTTTATTTTGCTAGAATCTCAGTGACTGTTTTTCACTATGTTGACATTTTAAATATTTTTATTTATATTTATGGGTAACATAAATTGCTACTCAGTAGGAGGGGGTCAGTTTAAAATTCAATTGTAAACAAGTACACATATATTCTCTCTCTGTACAATACTCCCTAATATTCATCTCATTAAAAAAGAGAGGATGCTTATGCTCAATCATTTCCAGCAGGATATTTATACAGGCTTCCATGGTCATGCTACATTACTTCCTTCTTTTAGTGAAAAAAGAAGTACAAACCTCTCTCTATGAGCCCCAGAAGAATAAAAATCTTTCAGGGCATGCTTTCATAAAGATTTTCTTTAAGTCTTTACAAATAATATCATTGATGAATTCTTTTTATAAAGTAGTTCCATGAAATTAGGAAACCAGTAAAAGCAGATCCACTAAGATCTTTTATGTATAAAAAATAAACAAGATGCTACATTGGACACAGTTTACACAGACTATGAAGTTATCAGATCATTTACTTCAATCTTCAAATAATCATATGGGTTAAATATCTATATTTTCATTTTTAATGCAAAATTTAAGGCTCAGAGAGACCATGTGACATAACCACAATCAGAAAGTAAATAGCAAAGTCAAGGAGTCAAATTCAACACTATTTGGAATAGGATGTACTTTTTCAATACATCACACACTTTCTTTTCTTTTTTTTAAAGATTGATTTATTTATGCATACAAGAACGGGGGTATAGGCCAGAGGTGCAGGGGGGTGAGAGGATTCACCAGAGACAGAGTGGGGAGCAGAACAGGCAGATCTACTGAAATATACTGCTAAGGGGAGCACCAGGGAGTGACAGGAGAGGTCTGCTGCATCATGTGGGTCACCTTCCTGGCTGGGGATTGAACTTGTGCTGCAGAGGCTGCAGACAGCTCCACAGTGCTGTGCTTAACCCCTTGCACCACCAGGGAGGCCCCCATCACACACTTTATTAACATAAAAAGACCATAAACAGAAACTGAAAGAGTTTGCAAACACTAGAATGCCCCTACAAGAAATGTGAAAAGAAGATCTCCTATCTAACCAGAAGAGAAGAAAAAGCCACAAAAAAATTGAGGGCCTCCCCGGTGGCGCAGCGGTTGAGCACTGGGTTGTGAAGCTGCCCGCAGCCTCTGCAGCACTGGTTGGCTCCCCGGCCACCGGCGAGGGTCCCACATGGGCACAGACCTCTCCTGCAACCCGCTGCTCCCCTCAGCAATGTACTTCGTCAGTCTACCTGCTCTGCTCTCCCCTCTGGCTCTGGTGAATTCTCTCACCCTAAAGCGCTTCTGATTGTATCCAGTCCTTGTTTAAATAAATAAATCTTTAAAAAAAAATTTAACAGGGAATAGACAGTGAGAAAACTAAAAACAAAGTGGCAGCAGCAAATTCTCATATGTCAATATTTACTCTATAAATGGACTGAATTCACCAATCAAAAAGCAGAGAGTGGCTGGTTGGATCAAAAAGCAAAGCCCAACATTTTGCTTTCTTCAGGAGACAGATCTGAGCTCCAAAGATAAACATAGCTCAAAGTAAATGTTTGGAAAACAAATGTATAAGTAAATGGGTCCAATAAACAGTAGGGACAGCCATACATACATCAGATAAACTTCCAGCTAATAAATGTAACACAAGGCAGGGATGGACATTATAAAGTAATGAAGGGGTCAATACAACAGGAAGATATTATACTTATCAATATATATTATGAACTAAAACTATCACTATGTCATCAAAGATAACATGACAACATATATAGAAAACAATGAAGACCCCATTAAAATCTACTAGAAACAACAAATAAGTATAATGAAGTGGAAGATTGCAAAATCGATTTACAAAGATCAGTTATATTCCTATATGCAAACAATGGACAATCAGAGAAAGAAATCAAGCAAACAACCCTTTTTAATATCACTTCAAAAATATATATCTAGGAGTGTACCTAAAAAAGGAAGAGAAGGATCTGTACAATGAAAACTGTAAGATATTGTTTAAAGATATAGAAGGTGACACAAAGAAATGGAAAGATATTTCCTATTCGTAGCTTGGAAGTGCCATTCGTAGTTAAAAGTGCCATCTTACGCAAAAGCAATAAACAGATTCAATGCAATTCCTACCAATGTGCCAATGACATTCTTCTAAGACACGAAACATTATGAAAATTTATGAGGAATCACAAAATACCCCAAGCAGTCAGAGTATTGACAAAAATGTAAGAATAGAGGTATCAAATGCCCAGACCTAAAGCTATATTAGAGAGCTACAGTCATCAAGATAGTATAATGTCAGAATAAAAATAGACATACAGACCAATGGAATCGAATGGAGAGCCCAGAAATAAACCTGTATTTATACAGACAATTAACCTATGACAAAGGAGCCAAGAGTATACAATGGAGAAATGAATATCTCTTCAATAAATTGTGTTGGGGGAAACAGTCACATGCATAGAATTAAACTAGACCACGATCTTACACTATAAACAAAAATTAACTCAAAATGTTTTTAAAGACTTGTATGTAAAATCTGAAACCATAAAACTCATCGAGGAAAACACAGGCAAAACACTCACAGCATTGGCTACAGCGACGTATTTGGGGACTCAACTCCAACAGTATGAGAAACAAAAACAAAAATAAACAAATGAGACATCAAACTAAAAAATGTCTGCACAGCAAAAGAAACTATCATTAAAATGAAATGATGCCCTACTGAAAATGAGAAAATATTTCCATATCATACATCTGACTGGGGGGTAATAAACAAGATTTATAAAGAAGTCACACAACTCACCAAAGAGAAAACTAAAAACCTAATCAAAAAATGGGCAGAAGGGTTAAATAGGCGCTTCTTCAAAGAAGACATACAGATGGCCAGCAGATACATGAAAAAATGCTCATCATCACTTATCATTAGGGAAATGCAATCAAAAACATAATGAGCTACCACTCACACCTGTGAGGATGGCCCCGATCAAAAGGATCAGAAACAAGCACTGGTGAGGATGTGGGAAAAAAGGAACCCTCTTACCACTGCTGGTGGGAATGAAGACTGGTCCGGTGACTTTGAAAACAGTATAGAGATTTCTCAAAATATTGAAAATAGAACTACCCTGTGATCCAGCATTTCCACTGCCAGGTAATCACCAGAAGAATGCAAAAGCACTAATGTAAAGGCATATATGCTCTTTGATGTGTAGCAGTATTACGTGCAATAGCACCTTATGGAAATAACCAAAGTGCCTAAGGACAAATGAGTGGATTAAGAAGCTATGGTATCCAGGGCCTCCCCGGTGGCGCAGCGGTTGAGCACTGGGTTGCGAAGCTGCCCGCAGCCTCTGTGGCGCCGGTTCGATCCCCGGCTGCTCCCCGGCCACTGGAGGAGGGTCCCACATGGCACGCAGACCTCTCCTGCCGCCCGCTGCTCCCCTCAGCAGTGTACTTCGGCCCTTCTGCCTGCTCTGCTCCCCGCTCTGGCTCTGGTGAATTCTCTCACCCTCCCGCGCCTCTGACTGTACCCAGTGCATGTATAAACAAAACAAACAAACAAATAAATAAATAAATAAAGCATGCCTCTATTAAAAAAAAAAAAAAAAAAAGAAGCTATGGTATCCATACACAGTGGTATACTACTCAGCTATTTAAAAAAAAAAAAGAAGAAGAAAAGAAAGATTAACTCAACATTATGGGCAGCACAGGTGGAACTGGAGGTGATTATGCCAAGTTGGGGTGAGAGGGGGGGACAGAAGAAGAAAGACACATGCCTGATAATTTCACTCGTGTGGAACATGGTGGAAAAAAGCAAAGGGTCAGACAAAACCAAACCAAAAACCGAGGTGTCTGTAGAGGAGGGGAAAGATGGAGGGGCAAAAAAGAACTGTGGTCGAGGATTATGGGGGCCTTGGTGGTAGGTGTATTGTGGTAACGTATATCTGAAGAGGTGTGATTCTATAGCTCTAAATCACATACAGTGTGGTAAGCCATTGTGACATCAATAAAAGGATTATTTTAAAAACGCAGATTTATCTTGAAGTAGAGCTTAGCATGCATTCTGAAATAGAATTTAAGAAAGTTATCCTCTGCCTACAAAACATTTTTTAAAAAAAGAACTAGGGCTTTCTAACATTCCTCTTTTGGGTCTTTGCCAATAACAAGTACTCAGTTTCCTCTAAACTCATATCCAATTAGGCATTGTCCATCATCTATTAAACATCGTTCTAAAATTCCTAATTCCAAATAACATCAATTTGTCACAACAGGTATTTTTTCAAGGTCCTTTCTTAGTCAGCATTTTGGTTCTCAGACACATTCCTTATTTAATTTTACTTTCTCCAAATGCAGACATGAATCATCAATTTTCCATTTTAGTGTCTATAAGGGATGTTTAATTTCTATAAATACACCTTAAAATTAGATATACCAACAGCATGATGAAGCAAAACATGTTCACTGCCAAGAGTCAAAAAGCTATGGATTCAAATCCTGGCTTGGCTTTTACTCCTTATAACGATTAAGTTTCTCATGTAAGATAGGATTTTATCATTTCTCTTACTAGGATTTAATATTAAATATATATTTATAAGGATCCTAATGCAGTGGTTGGTCAAGGTTAATACTCCATAATTAGTAAGAGTGGTAACACTATTATTACAAGCATTACTAGTTTTGAAATAAGTTATAGTTGGTACAAAATACTATACATGAATAAAGCTAAAACTAAAACCTCCCCCACAAAACAGTCTTTACATTTAAATCTATTAGTGAGAAAGCAGTATAATGGTTAAGTCTTCCTAGTCTCTATTATATCAATACAAACTCACAAAAATCCACCTCCCCATTATTTTGATATTGAATAATCTGACCTGATGCTGGCAGATTTTGCTTTCAAGTCATTCCATCGTTGGTTCATATCATCCAGTCGATGTTGAAGCATGGTAGCCTCTTCAGAATTTCCCAAAGCTTTTACCATCTTCTGCCTGTTTCCATCAATGCTTTTAAATATATCATTATGGGCATCAATTTCTGCCTGGATGTCCTGAAGAGAAAAAAAAATAAAAGCAAAAAGATAATGCAAATGTTATGTACAAGTGTCAACACTGCTTGGAGTTGGAGTTGCCGTACATATTGTTTTTAATATAGTCCACAGATTAGTTATTTCAAGCAAAATAGTGAATTCCACTGTAAATATAATAGATACAAAGTTTTCCCCCATTCTTATTTACAAATAATAGTCTTTAAATCCTCAATACACCGATTGCCCAGTTTTTCAAAACAGAATGTACAATCATCAAAATTTCATGTATTTACTGGTGGATGTTAGTATTTTAGATTCAATGAGCAATTTTCAAAGTATTACATTTTTTTGTCAAATCATTAAACACTGCTTCATATCCCAATACTACTTTTTCTTCCCAATACACACAGGCAAACATCCCTCAAAATTCTACAGAGATCCCTAAGACATAACATAATGTAATTGTATTTTTCTCATTGAGACAAAATAATTATTCCTTCTTTCAATCTAATAAAATTTTGAAAGTTATAAAAGAACATTTTTCATTAAAATTTTATCCCCAGTAATAGAAACTAATCACAAAATAACACTCTATTAAATCCATAAATTATTTATTTTTATAAAGTAATTTGAGCATACTTTAAGTAAAACGAGAACTATTATTCATAACAAAATTTGACTCATGCTTTGAGGAAGCATAATGGCAATATGAATCAAAAGCCTTAAAAATATTGAAATGACCTATCCTAGGAACACTTATGTATATACACAGGTTGGTGTTTATATTGGCATATGTATTTGTGTATTAATGCATGCACACATATACATTAAAATACTAAGAAGTAACCCAAAACAATGTCATGTCTGCTTAGGATTAAAAGTGATTTTAGTTTTCTTTGTATACTTCTCTGAATTTCCAAATTTCCATAAAAAGCAGCATTTTTAATTTAATTTAATTATCTAATCTAATTAGATACATTTAACAAATTTAAAATCTACTAAGTCCTATTGATTTTTAATACTCCTCCATCACAACACTGCCTAAACAGTTGTCTGCATTGATCTAGCCATCATGCTTGCTTCCTGATAAAATGGAAGCGATCTTGTTATAGCTAACTCCAGTATGACAGCCAGGAGCACCCAGCAAATGAGTGTGAACTTACAGAAAAGCAGACGTGGGGTGGGGTGAATCTCCCCATGACATTCACTGGTAATGAATATTGGGACAGGGTTTCACAGAAAAAAATATATATACTTTGGATAATGAATCTGAATTATAAAAGGAGCACAAACTCCAGCAATAAAGATTTATTATCCTTCTCATCTACTCTCCTTGATAAACCTCAATCTTCTTTACGTTTTTTCTAACTCTAAATGAGCACACTAAAAATTCTGACTACTCAGCCTGCTTTTACTCACTTAGAATTCACTACACATAAGCAACCCACATATCCCATCCAGTAGCAAATTTAAGGGTCAGCCTCTAATGAGGGTTCCTTGGGCAGCTGCAGATCCACTAGCCAGAGAAAGCACCAAAAGGCCTTTTGCACCTACTGCTCTGGCCAGCACTATAAGGCAGAGTCACTTACATGGGGGCAGGGGGGTAAGGCCAGAACCACTGTAATAGAACCTCCGAGATGTGTGATATTGTAAGGAACATGGGGTAACTCAGGCTCTATCTTTCTTTCCACTGCCAGCCTCTACAGCCACCACCTATTGCTTTGTTTTTCTCCCAGGTTTCATTACCCAAACGTGATAGTGTGTTATTGTAAAAAGTGCTTAGGAGGGCCTCCCTGGTGGAGCAAGGAGTTAAAATGCAACCTACGGAGCCATCCGCAGCCACTGCAGCATGAGTTCGATCCCCAGCCAGGCAGCTACCCACATGGCACAGCAGACCTCTCCTGGCTCGCCCACTGTTCCCCTCAGCAGTGTATTTCAATCATTCCTCCTGTCTGTTCTGCACTCTGTCTCCGCTAAATCCTCTTACCCCCACACCTCTGGCCTGTACCCCAGTTCTTCTGCATAAATAAATCTTTTTTTGTAAAGTGCTTAGGAGCACAAGCAGGAGGCACATGCACCTATAGATAACAGATACCCAGGCTGAGAAGGCAGACATTATGGGGACTAGGAGGCTTGGTTGTTGGTCTGCCCCTGTATCCAGTCCCTTGCTTCAGCATTAAGGGAATGTCAGCTATACCTAAGGTTCTATGATTCTTTTTCCATTTGCCTGAATTAACAGTGAACTTGCCCAGCCTGGGATGGTTACCCAATAGGTATCTGATGGGGTCAGATTCCAGAAGTGGGAGAGATGAGCACAGTCTCAAGGACAGCTTCTGAAAAGCATGTGCTCCAAATATGTGAGTCCACTGGTCTCTGGCAATCTCTGACCCTAAAGACACAGCCAAATCAGGTCTCCCTGCAAAGTGCGACCTGGTACACACAGAATTAGGGTGATCACGGAACAAACAATCCGAGGTGGTTGACGCTTCCTCATTTCATGAGCATCCCTATTCCATAGAGAGCCGGGGAGCCGGCTCAGGGCCAGATACTGGTTCCAGGCTCTGGGATGGGCAGCGCTATGCACGGGCGCTGCAAGCTCATTACCATCTTAGTTTGGAGAGCTCCAAATAGAAATTCCCAGTGAAAAAGGAAAGTTCTGCCGACAGGTTCTTTGGTGTCATCTCCCAACGACAGTTTTATCTTTTAGGACGGAACATCTATTTTTGAGTCCTGAAATGAATTTTAAGAAATCTAAAGAGACATAGTAAGAGATCAGTAGTTCTAAGCTTGCACTGTATAAGTGTGACAGTCACCTTTCTCAAGAAGCTTGGCGACACAGTGAACAAGGCATTTCTTTGCTCTCTACTGCCAAGGAGGAACCTGGCCTCAAATTTTTCTGGGCAGGTTCCTAAACATGAGGATCACTCAAACACACCTAATATCACAGGCGTCTTCAAACTACAGCCTCCTGACAAGAGCCTGACCTATTTGCTTCCTTTCATATTCAAGAAGCATAGAAAACCAGCCAGTCAGGCATTAAGATCCATAAATAGTTTTCTAAGTTTTATCAAAGCATTTTACACCACCAGGAAATCTGGATACCAGGCTCAGGAAGGAAATTTGGCTCTTCACCTCTGATCAGATGATGCCTTTTCCAACCCAGGCACAACGATGGAGGCAAACAGAACTAGGTCACAGATCCAGATGACGAGTATAAATATCTCTATAAAGTTTAGGTTTGGAGCACTACTGGTGACCACATATTCACCCTGGAATGTAACATTCAATATGTGGGAAACCCTTCCACACATGAACCTCATCAAAAGTAGGAAGAAGCTCAAAACAACCAGTGATCAAAGAAAATCAGCATACATTATATTGGCTTATTTAACATTTGGTGGCACATTTATTTGGCCAAGTGTATCAGGAGTTTCTAATGGAAAAAAAAATCATTTTTAAGACCTCTTCAGTATCCTTCCTACTCTCTGTTACACAGAACGAGCCTAATGGACAATAGTTACAGACAGATGATAGATTGATGGCGGTGATAAAGAAGGAAGGCAGATGGACAGACAGACGGATATAAAAATGTATGAATAAGCACATCTTGACTGCTTCATTGATTATCATATTAGCCCTTGGAGTGCCAAGAAAAATCAGACAAATAATCGGGAGGGAATGTAGCTATCATTTTGTTTAATCTCTTCATTTAGAAAAAAGTAACATGGGGAATCTGAAATTATTTAGGCTTCTGCACTGCAAAGCTTTGCCTGTTCAGTGGAAATTCAAAACTACATGCAGCTAATGAATCATGCTCCTTCATAGATCAATAGGCAATGAGGCACGGGTTTTAAAGTCAAGATGCCAGCATGAGAGGCTGTCAGGTCACGACCCCAGTGGAGCACCACATACTGAAATGAATTCAAGTTCTGTGAAAGAGGGTTTGCCTTCACTGCACGGTTGGGAGGCTTCCTGCAAAATGCTCAGCTCTGTCACCTGCAAGCCTTTCTGAACAGTAAGTGGCATAGCCACACCAATCATTAGTTATATAAGCTGGTCATGTGCACAGAGGGGCCACCACAAAGTATCAACCAGTCACATTAAGATTTGGAAACAAAACAGGAGAAATATGTTAAGGTTTTACTTGAAAGGTTTGAAACATACCAACAGCATAAGCATATGCAGAAGGTTAAAAACAGCCAGGAGTTAGAATAAGAGGACTGTATATTTTCCTCTAAGTTAAACACCAATGGAAGTGTAAAGAACCTTCCAGAAGATGGTCACCAAAGCTCACAGAGATTACTGATCAACCGTTGGTCTTTTTTGGAATCAATCTCCACTATGTGGGTCAAAATAATTTCACAAATATAGGAAAACATTTGTTTATTTACTTATTTAATAATCGATATTTTAGTATTAATTTAACCCTTAGCTAGGCATTTCTTTATAGATATGTCCCCTGGAAATATTATCTACAAACACCTTATAAGGTATATTATATATATTTCCTCTCTTTACAATATTCTATAATCAAGAAGTGGTGTGACTATGTAAGCAAAAACATTTTTTTTAGATAATAATAACAGAACTGTTTGAACCCTCTGAGAGGAAACAGAGAGTGACAATAAGACCACCAGGAAATGTTCAACAACCAAATTGGTGCTAGAAGAGATTTGGGTCTTGCTGACATAATTGTGGTTTATTTTTGTATGGCATATTTACATAACCCTACATGGCCTCAGCAGTGTTTTTTCTGAAGGGGTGCTGACCCCTTTCCTGAAGGTGAAGAAGTAGGGTTGGCAACAGCTCCCCCACTACATCCTGAGGCCCAGGCTAAATCAACATAGTTAAACATTAGGGAAACAAATGCAAAGTTCCTTTCAAAATGAAGGCCTGAATTTGGAGACAGTTTAGGATTGATTATTAGGAGCACAGTAGAATAATGGCCAGAGCTTTAGATTTTGAAAATGAGGAATCCAAAGCTTAAAAACTATAGTCAGATATTGCCTAAAAAAACACAG